TTATGGACTGACACCCAACAGAACATGGAAGAAATAGAGGGCGCCCGCCGCTAGAATTGGACGAGTAGATGAAGAAGATCTGCGGAGGAGCAGCCTGGCAGAGAGTAGTATTGGAGAAGAAAGAGTGGAAACGGGGAGAAAAAGGGACAGGCGAACTACTTAGTTTAGAGCTGGAGTGGTGGAAGAATTGAATTCTAAACCTCAACTAAAAAGTTGATTTTGTACATATATAAATACTAGGTGTAAAACGATATAAAAAGTGTAAGTATAATTTTTTTTCATATTTATGTACAAATAAAGATTATTATTATTACTAGCAAGCCCGTGCGAAAAATACGCACTGCATATTGTTATCAAATGCCAAATTATTAAGGAAATAAAGTAATGTAACGTATACAAAGATATAGAAATCATTCGTTACTTGTTTGTTTATTTAGGCTTTAAGGCGTAAAACCCTAAAGTCATAAACGCCTGTGAGTCAGTTATGTTTGTTAACTCTTTAGAGGAGAAATAGAAAAAAAATGAACAATCAAAAATTAATAATAGATAGATATAGTGGTATATGAAAAAGATATTTATAAACATACAAAAAATGAAATATATTAAAATAAATATTAAAAAAAGTATAAATTATATCTATTTTTATATTTTATTTAATAGTCTATGAATTTTAAGAAATTTTATCACGGTTCCTATGTTTGTTTCGTTGTTGCTTAATACTGCTGATATATCCGGTTTTAGAGATAATCGATTTAGGGTTGAAGTATAATATCATTCGTTACTTTATCGATAAATATAATCCACAAAGGAAACAAAAAAAACAAAGGAATCTACAAAATTAATTTACATATTCATTAATGTTTGGAACCAACATGTTTACAGATTTCAATAAGCTGTATCTTTGCTGAAAATTGTCCGATTTCAATGATTTGTTTTTCCTTTTGTAGGGAATTGAGTAATGTTTTATATAATCATCGGCATAACCTAGGGATTTTTTTTAGTTATTCGCAAATAAAGTTTGTTTTCTTTCATAATCTGTTTGCCTGAATTTTCGGGGTGATTGGACTATTTTGCCCTCCTGAAGGAGAAGGAAGCCTTCGAAATTGGTGGCTCAATCTTGAGATTTGGTGAAGAATTAACGATTATATGGCTTGCCTATCAAAAAAACCATCGATAGATAATATATATAAACTTCTCCTCTCTCGATCATAGAGGCCTCAAGTCGATGAAATGAGACATGTATTCAATGACAGTACTACAATTAACGTGTGAATACGAACCCTATGCCTTGCGTTATCTCGAAAATAGTGCGTTTTAGGGCGTAAAAACGCAGGATCCGATAGTTTCGAAGAAAAAATAAATAATAAAGATCATGCTGTACGCATACAAATCTTCAAGGTCCAATTTGTCCCATATCGATCTACAGACCTACTACCGTTTCAGTATTGAAGCCTAGCAAAATGTTTGTATCGAATTTATTTATTTTAGAAAGATTAACAAAAGTGGAGAATACGATTCGCTAACCCCCCTTGAAATTCTGAATCCAACGGTAACCCATTCAAGATATTTGAGCATGATAGGAGCTTATATTTGGTACAAAATCGATTTAGAGCCTTACTGTAATAATATATGTGGGGATAGGGATTATGTTTCACTGATTTCGGTATAGCATTTATTACCCTGAGGTGGGGTCGGTTGTGATTTTTTACTTTCATTTACCTATATATGAAATATATAGTAAGGGTGAGTAATGCGATCGTGAAAATTTTTGAATCTGAGTTTTCATCGGAAATACACATTTTGGGTACCATGAGTCCAAATAACCAAGTCCCGAAAAATGGTGTATGTGAACATTCTAGATAAAAAACAAAAAGTCGTACAAAACTGATATTACGTATTTAAGATAAGTATATGGCTGAGATGTTACACCGACTTTTTCCTTAAAATTGGCTAACTCGAAGTGCCACTTTATATCAATGGGGAAATACATTTTTACAATTTTCTCAAAAACTTCTCTAACGATTTTGATTAAACTCGGTGAAGAATTGTATAATTGGGTGGTCTTTAATATCATTTAGGTCTTATCACCATGATTACAGGGCTTAAATGCCCAATGTTCGAATAAGTCTTCCTCTAAAGTACCTTTAATATGAGAAGGAGTTGACCGGGGGTGCGGTCAAATAAATACTTAATTATACAAATAGTATTATTTAATATTTTTGCCGACGTTTCGACCCACTTTGCAGGTCTTCATCAGGGCGTAGGATGTAGCACTGCGGGAGGCAGTTGAAACACTGGCAAGAGACTGCCTCCCGCAGTGCTGCATCCTACGCCCTGATGAAGACCTGCAAAGTCGGGTCGAAACTTCGGATTTCAATAAAATAGTTGAGTTCTAAGTGAAATTCCTAGATGAACACACCTCCCTGATGAAGAACTGCAAAGTCGGGTCGAAACGTCGGCTTTCAATAAAATAGTTTTACTACTATTTAGCCTATTTATGACCGCAACCCCGGACCATCTTCCTTTATAATGCAACGGTCAACTATTAAATATTCAATATGACTAAATTTGAAGTTTGAAAGAATGTGATAATTGGAAACTGGAGAAAAAAAAAAGTAGAAATATCACTTTTTCAACTAGAAATGTCACTAAAATGACATGACTCAAAAATATCAAAATTGGAGTAATCATTCTGTCAACTGAAAGGCTCAGAGACTGAAGTTCTGTGGTTTATAAAACTAGATTTTTATTGCTTACGGCCGGTATAAATAAATAGACTTTTTGTAATTTTAATGGTCTTAATGAATTGTTATCTGTTAGCTTTAAGCTTTAGCTCCATTTAAAATGCACTTCAAAAATTTTATTTTTTGATACCCTAAACATTAATATTTAATATCCTAACATTGCCAGAAAATAATTTCTATTCTAAGCAAAGGGATAAGTGAAAGTTGTGTGTTGCCCGCACCAGATTTTTTTTTTAAATTTGCTCCAATGAGCTAACCATTGTATTTGCGGACAGAGTTTCAGTATTTATGTATAGTCAAATGTACACTTTACTATAAAAACCAACTTTCTTCCAGCTAATTGGTATACTAACATAATTGTGGACAGTTAAAATGAAAACTGCCTCAACCGTACCCAGTCTATTCTTTCTACATGTAGAATATAATAGACAAATAGCTTTATTCTGGGACCGGTCTGAATGTATTCATATATCACTATAATTATTGTCCATGTGACAGATTATTATATTTCTAAATAATCATATAAATAAATAAATTCTGGGACCAAGTCCATTGAGAATAAAAATGTTGTTGATCAGATCTTATAATTTTTTTTCCGATAAAGATCAGCTAAGAACCCCGCATATATCATTATTTCTTGGCTTTCTTTTTATCCCAAACTTTCTTCATCTTTTCTCTCATTTCCTTTTTCCGTTCAGTCCATTTCCTTCCTTCCTTTCTCCTCTTTCCCCTCTATACTACAAGGGCCTTCATCTTATTCACTGCTTTTCTAAATTTATCCCTGTCCTATTGTATTCATCTTATTTTATACCAAGTCTTACTATTTCTTCCTTAATCTATTTAGAGTATCCAGGGGTGTTGATGCCAACTTCAAATATACCATTGTATTTTTGCAGATCGGCCTCTCGGGAAAATAATTAAAATTTCAGCCAACAACCAAATTTTAAAAATGAATCCACAACTTGAGTGCAAAATGTGCAATAAAGTGAAAAAAGAAACACTTTATCATCTATTATTTAAATGGCCAATATATAATGATTTGAGAGTAAGAACTTACCAGGGTATAATAATAATAATAATAATAGGGCATAATAACAATAATGGTCTCCTAGACCACATCCAGATTCCTGATTTCAGTACACGGGGGTAGGTTCACCAGTCCTACGCCGATCGGTGTGAGTTGCCTCCAGTAGCCTGACGGGCCTCACATACCGGGGGGGAGGATCTCGGGCAGCGTGGCTTTCCCTAGTGGACGGCCACCCAAATCGGGTGGTCACCCATCCAAGTGCTAACCACGCTCGGCGTTGCTTAACATGCTTACTTATTGCAAGCGCCTTAGCCCGCACAAATGTATATATATATAAATATATATATATATATATATATATCTACAACTTTTCTTTAATCGACCTTTGAGTATAAAATTTTAAAATAATTATTTAATTAGGAATAAGGTCACTTATTTTTTCAATGTGTTGTGGAAACATATTGTGTTTTTTGTATTTTAGAAGAAATATCCTCTGCGGTTCCAAATATTTCGCTGTTTTCTAATACCATTCCCGTTTTGATATTTTATCTCCTGAAAGATGCCCATGTCTTTATATCAACTAAAAAAACTATAACATAGTAACAAGAAAACAAAAATTGAAACCAACCAATAAGTCAGTCGTAAGTATAGCAAAACAATAATTTCTCTCTTTATTCTATGCAGTTCTTTTTGTAATAGCAATTTATATATATATATATATATATATATATATATATATATATATATATATATATGTATATATATGTATGCCTGTATGTTATACGAAATCGTTTTAATTTATATGCAGATTGATAAGAACCTATATCTTCTGACTCTGTTCTGAGGTGAAAAATTCATGAATAATTTATTTAATAAAAATATTATTTTAAAATAGAATTACCTGTTATTGGTATTTTTTAATTATTATTTTATTTTTAGTATTTGTTAAATTTGATGTTATTTCCTGAATTACCAAAAACTTGGACTATGATACGTTTAAGTAAATTATTTCTTATATTAATTTAATCGTATGCATGGTTTTGGAAAAAACATTATTGTTTCACGAAACATAGTTAATTAGAAAACCTATTACTTTAATATTGCTACGACTCTATAGGTCATTCAACAGTTTTAAGATGTTCCGATTAATCTTTAAGGAGATCAGCTTGTTGAGAAACGATGCTGTTCCAAAGTTCATAATTTGGCAACCGTTTTTTTTTTTTTTTTAGAAATTTAGGACGAGGAGGGCTATTGCCAAAGGACAATGTGAAGAAGACACCGGGAGAGCAGGAAGCTGGATGAGATGTTATCGCCGGAGAAACCCGATCAGGGAAATGTCAGTGGGGACATATAGATCTGATGTAAGCAGCACATAATGACCCTACCATTATTTGATTTGTTTTTATTGTCTTTTCTCATCCCATCAGGACCAGACGTAACAGCCATGGGATCCTTACCGGTTATACAACGTGTGCACTACAGAGGTGTTCTTCTAATTAATAGTGTTGGCCAAAATCGGTCTTGGTATTGCAAAGTGCAAGACCAAGACCAAGACTGGTAAGAAAAATCGATTTTTTCAATAAAAATTGAGACAAAATAGTTACTAATACTTGACAATTTTAGTTACTATATGTAAAGAATTGGTGTAACCAATATAATTTTGCACTCTTCTAACTCTTCTAATTTTTCATTTTTATCCTGAGCATCTGTGGCTCTAGTGCCCTCCTTCAGCATCCACTGGCTTCTAATACTAGTGATGCGGCTGGAAAAGTGGCACTGGGATCTCTGGAGTCCTGCTTTGCCTTCCAAATGTGGGTAGAAAAGCCTTACTCGGAGATTCCAGGGCGAATATATATATATTGTATATGGGTATGAATGTGTTTAGAAGTTTTTATTTTATTTTGTTTGTTTATTTTTTTTCCTATTGATTCACATTTTTTTATCAGTATTGTTTATTTACTTTTTATATTTATAGTTATTTCTTTATTATTTGTATATACTGTATGAATGAGAACTTTTAGCCTTAATACTTATAGCCCTCTAACAGTGGCTGATTGTATTATTATTCAATAAAATAAAAAAAATAAAAAAAAATTTCAATGAGACTTAGTTAGGTTTCTCATATCTAAAAAAATACAGTAATATCTCTCTAGTAATAAGCTAATATGAACTGCAAGACTGTTACCAGAGTCTTGCGCAAGACTAAGACTGAGTTTGCAAGACCAAGACTCGTCTCGGTGTCGCATATTGCCAACTCTACTAATTAACGATATCGTAATTTTTAACTGTTATTTCCTTGGAAAACAGATATCAAAGTAATAGGTTCTTTCCTAGTTCGAACTTAAAAAGATTTTTTTATTCCAATAAAACTTGCGCATATTTTCATTTGCGATTTGTATATTGCGCATATGTAGTTCCATTCCTAATCAAAGAATAAAAAAATATATCTTCTTTCCAACAAAAAACTTCATTTGATGCATTCGATTCCGAACGGAAAAGGAGTTAAGACCAATTTTGTGATTTTTTAAGGTGGTCACTCTAAAGTAGACAAAATCTTATTTGGGAAAACAATGATTAAATTTACTAAGGTCAGTGATAAAAGGGACTTTCAGGCAGGAGGTATAGAGTCGGCAATATTAAAAGTAATAGGTCTTCGACTTAACTATGTTTCGAGAAACAATAATGATTTCCCAAAACCATGCATAAAATTAAATTAATATAAGAAATAATTTACTTAAATGTGTCATAGTCCGATTTGTTGGTAACTCATGGAAGGACATCAAATTTAACAAATACTAAAAAATAAAAATAATAATTAAAAGATAAAAATAATAGATAATTTTATATTTTTATTTTAAAATAATATTTTTATTAAATAAATTATTTATGAATTTTTCACATCAGAACAGAGTCAGAAGATATAGGTTATTATCAATCTGTATATATATTAAAACGATTTCGTAAACTTTACATATATATATATATATATATATATATATATATATATATATATATATGTTTATATTATCCGACCCTCATCCCTATGGAATTAAATCCATCGCTCTAATACCCTCCCTACCTTTAAATCCCGTCTGTTCAATCATTTTTTATCCATCCAGTCCCTATAAAATTGTAGGTAGATATTACTTAAAATTTGTATATTTACTTAAACATCGAAGGGCCGATGTACTGTTGCAGTTTACAGTATCCATACCTGAGCAGCATATCTCTGTAATCCCGGATTCGTGAAATAATTCGGCATGATGGTAGGCTTTGCGTTATTAGACCTCCTAAAAATCCCTTTTATCATTGAATTTATTAAATTTAATCATTGTTTCCTCATAGAAAATTTTGTCTGCATTACGATGGTGTACTTATAATTTAATTATCTTGAACAATTTTTGAGAAATTCCTAATTATTTCATAAAAAAAACTTGACAACCTTTATCAAAATTTATCTTAACTCCTTTTTCATTTGGAATCAGTCCATGCATCAAATGAACTGTTTTGTTGAAAATGTTGTCTAGAACCACTCTTCGGTGTTTGGCCATTAATAAGTGAGACACCCTGTATCTGTTATGTAGATATGTCTATCGTTAAATATGTATTTTAAAATTTTATATTAAAACCAAACACAATTGTTTTAATTTTTTTTATTTATAAAACTTAATATATAATATACTGTTAATGTTCTTTGAATTATACTGTAGTTTATATATTATTAAATTAAATTATGTTGAAATGGCATGCTCACAAACGGACAAAACGCATACTCTGACATGACAAAATTCAACTTCATAACTTTATGACTAATAAGCTGCAACAAACCTCCGAAGCGATCACTAAATAATAATTTGTAAAATATAAAACGTGAATGTGTATGTGTGTAGAGTTTTATTTTGTTTATACGTTAGGCTATGTTAATATACTTTAATGACAGTAATATAGTTTTTACTTTTTTTTTTTTTTCATTATGTATTTATTTATGTCTTATTTAGGTTTTTATTGGATTTTTCCCACTATATAAAATATATTTCATCATAAAAATAGCAATCACAACACTTCATTGTAACTTGTATAAAGTAATTGTTACCACAAGCATGAAACCATTATTATGACTTAATGTGTTGTAACGATTAACGTGGAACCCTCATACTAGATTTAAAAGAAAGGAACTTAACCGACGATACGGCCAACTATACATACTACTAAATGGAAAATCTAAACTCTCTATTGAAAATAAAATACTTATCTACAAGACAATACTGAAACCCACTCGATCTTACGGACTTAAACTGTGGGGAACAGCAAAACTTTCTAACATTAAACGCATCCAATCCTTCCAATACAAAGTCCTTCGAACAATAGTCGATGCTCCTTTCTATGTAACCAACAAAACCCTACACCATGACCTTGATATCCCATTTGTCCCAGACCTTATTCCAGGAAAATTCTCCAAATTTCACCAGAATTTCACCTTACCCATCATCCAAATCCCTTTGCACAATCCCTAGCCAGTACCAACCATCCCTATAATCCTCCAAGAAGGTTAAAACGACATTGGCCCCGCGACCTTTTATAGTTTGTAAATATTGGAGTTCTTGCAATGGCCAGATTCTCCACTCACGACATGAGTGTATGTGGCTAAAGCACTCTTGCTCAATCTCCACTGGGTTTAGCCCCAGTGACGCGGTTAACAGTGAAGTTCAGGGGTCTCCTGGAGTCATGCTTTCTCCTCAACAGTTGGAGGGACAAGTCTGGTTTGGAGTTCTCTAACCGGATTGTAATATTTTATATAGGTACGCATGGGTTCTTTTTATTTATTTATTTTTAGGTTATTTTATTCTTATTTATTGTATATTTATTATTTTTCTGTATAATTTATTTTATTTATTGTACATAGAGTGTGAATGTGATCTCTGAACACTATTATTAATGTCCTTGAGACAGATTACAATATTTTTCAAGAAAAAAAAATAAATTTAATTAAAATACTATTCTACTAAAGCGGTTATGAAATTGGGTTTTGCTGCCAGATTTCTGTCATTAATGCTTTTTTATAAATGACAAATTTAATGTTTCTAGCCCTAATGTTGATGTTTAGTAACGTTTTCAGGTTAAGTTTATTAAATTATTGATTTAATTGAATTTGAAAATTATTGAAGCAATCTTTAGTTTAAACTTAAATTTTAGTAATAAACATTAAGTTTGTCACTGTGACAGCCAGACTGTGTTGCCTTACCCTCCTTTTAGTTTGTGATTGAATGTGGAGTGATGGAATGATGTTCGATTGTCTGTTATTTTCTGTCCTGATGATGCCCGAATTGGCGAAACGTCGACGGGTTTTTTTTTCATTGCCTGCATTTACTTTGAGTGAACATTTACAAGATATATATTTTTTAATACAGTTGTAAATGTCAAGAATGAATGAATGGAAGGCTATGTAGTTTGGAATTTTTCCAAGTTATAACCTTATATATATATATGTATATATATGTACTTAAAACCGCATCCGGAAGAATCAAAGTCAAAACAAAAAAAAAAGTTATCTAGATGATATAAACGTTTTACTCCGTTTGCGGAAGGGGCAATATGATTGATTGCGGTTATCTGTCGAGTTTGAGGAGTGCCTCAACCGACGGTTTTGTTTTCGTTGATGGGTTTGTTTTCTTTGCTTGCATTTTGGGGACATAAGACTTTATGGTTTGGAATTTTCCCAAATTAACGATATATATTGCTTTGTAAGATTTGTAATTGGAACCCCGAGACGCTCCCGTGTCTCCCACCACTACACTGAGTTAGGGTGGCTCTTCCCCTCCTTAAGAAGACAATATTTCCTTGGCACTTTCCTTTATCAAATCATTACCGATCATCGTCCTTCTTATGCCTACAACCTCCTCCAATTTAAGTCCTCAATCCATTCACTCACTACAAGATCCCGACCCTCTGACCTATACATCCCTTCTCATAGATCTGCCTCATTCCAAAATTCCTTTATAGCCCGCTCTGTCAACTTTTGGAATTCCCTCCCGATCAAAATTCGACATGCCCCTTCCCTGTATACATTCAAAAACCTCCTATTCCAATTCCTGTTCCAAAAACAGTCTGATACCAGCTAACTATTGATATTATATATGTATTGTGTAGCAATCATATAATCATAACACTTGGTAAGAGATAGTACATGCATTTCCTACTATCGACGTAGGAATTTCAATACATACATTTTTTTTTATATATTGTTTTTTATTCAATTATAAGTAACTGTTTATTTTTATATATATATTCAAGTAAAGTTTTTTTTTTTTTTTTTATGAAATGAACTCATTGTATCTCTTTTTCGTTCTTCATTTCTCGAAGTGTATGTTTATGTTGTTCAACCCTTAAATATAATTTTGTTCATAGTTCAAGTGATTCGTTCATAGTTTTAATTGTTTTGTTCATAATTTTAAATGCTCTGTACATAGTTTTATCTGTTTGTATATAGCTTGTGCACCTAAGGTTTTCTTTACTTTTTATTTTATTTTATCAATTTTATTTATTGTTTCAACGTTCAGGCCAGTAATATTCTATTATTTTGTACATTATTGTTATTCTGAAGGGACTTAGTCCCAGAATAAAGTTTTTTTTTCTATCTATCTATCTATCTATCTATATATATATATATATATATATATATATATATATATATATATATATATATATATGTATATATATATATACATATATGTATGTATGTACTTAAAACCGCATTCCGAAGAAACAAATTAAAAAAAAAATTATTGTTATTTATTTACATATAGTTACAATCTTTTAAGATTACATACCTGTAGAACTCAAACTTTAACGCCCCAGAAGAAACAGTAACTGATATATGATGATTAAGAAAACTGAAATATTATTCAAAGTGTAACCAATCATCTTTAAAAATAAATAGTATTGAAGGAACAGTGAAAATTTCAATTAAAACTCTCTCTAAATAGGTGCTATCTTATTTAATTAATTTTATTTGTTTATCTTATATGTGTTACTATATCAGTACCACATAGTTAAAATCAATACCATTAAAATCAATGTGCTCATGCATTTGGTGATGGAATGGATAAGGGAAAATGGCCTTAACGAATTTTGATTAGGAAACTTTAGAAATTTTGGACCAATACCCTTTCATAATATACTTCAGAAACATTAGAAAACTATCATTTCTAACCTTCATTCCTCTTCGAACCATGATAATCCACTGAGGCGTCCGAAATGAAGATGGGCCCGTGATTAAATGTAGAAATTTTATTTGAGTGCTACCAATGGGTAGTTTCTCAACAGATCTTTTAATATCGTTATATTTCTCCGTGAAAGATTTACTTGATGTATTTTTGTTTTAATATAGTTGTAAATTTCATGAATGAAAAAAAAAGAAAGGAATTACCGAAATAATAGGAAATATTTCCCAGGAATAAATTTATTTTTACTAATGCTGACTTATTTGCTAAATACAAATAATGATATATGATGATTAATAAAACGATCTATCTATTTAATAAGAAAGGCAAATTAATAAGATTCATATGGGTCCCTTCGCAATGCGGGGTAACTGGAAATGAGCAGGCTGCCTAGCAGCCAACATGGCAAGAAAGGCAAGCACAACTCCAGGGAAACCAAATAATAAAATCCCTTTAGAGGACTACATGAGAAAGATTAAGATGGATGTGTGGAAAATTAGGGAAATCTCTTGTCCAACCTCTAGAGACAGCTCTCTGCAGATTACGAATTGGACATTGTGAGTTCTTGCGTGCCGACATACTAAAAGGACTTGATCTTCGACCTGTGAAAGCTGCAATGTCCAAAGAACTGTAAAAGACATTATTCAAGAATGCCCTAAAAAATATCAGAGAACATTTGAATATAACACTAAACCTATCAGAAAACCTAAAAAATAACGAAACGGCTGTCAAAAAAACATTGGAATTCTTAAAAGTGGTAACTGTAACAGAAACTGCATAACAGAATTTAAACAGAAGGTGTTGCCAATGACCCTACAGTGTAGAAGCAAAAAAAAACATTTTTTTGCTAAAATTTAAAAGTAAATTGATGCGTTATAATGATGCATATAACAGTTAAATAAGTACTTTATTAGCAAGAAAGATCCTTGAACTTGGTGGATGTGACCCAGCTATTAGAGTTCATGCACGACCTAGGATTAGCAGAATCCTATGGTCGCTCGGCGAGGGGTAGAACTCATTTTGCCTCCAGCCATTCACATGTTATATAACGGGGTATGGAATTCGTCTCGGGTTAATATCTCATATTAGAATTCATTCATTGACAAATAAAAAAAACAGAAATAACCTGTACCACGACAAACATGTGAGGAAGTACTGTTTCAAGGCCAACGGTTGTACAGGGAAGTGATTCGGCCGATATCACGCTCAATCACCAGGTTTCCTCCCTTAATTAATCATTTAATCAAAAATAGCCATCTTATAGAGGCTTGGTGCGCCCCAGGAGGATCTCACGACCTCATGTTCGATCCACGGCTGGTGAAAAAAATTAGCTACCCCACTTCCAAAACGTCTCTATTAAACATATTGTAAAGTAAGCAGTATTTTTTCCTCTGTTGGCGATACAGACCTTGTAGGTCATTTTCCGTCTTAAGCAGCCCTCTTCATCTCTGCCAACTTTTCTCCCAATCTGCATGCAGCTCTATTGCATCTTTGTTGTTTCGATCTATCCATCTGCTTTTTGGCCTTCTACGCGGTATTTTGTCTTCTATTGAGGCATTCATTGTTACGTAGAGGCTTCCAGATGGATTGCTACGAGCTACCTACCCCGCTTATCTTTACCTCCTTGCCTTCATATCATGAGATATTCATATTTTCAGTTTCCAAATGTAGTTCTTTATTGGTCCTTGTCCTTAAATCTTTCTATACGTTTATCTTGGATGCTGGTTACTGCCCAGGTCTCACAGTCGTATATCAGAACTGGCTTTATCATTGCATTGCTTATAATTTTAAATTTTGCAGTTTTTTAATACCAAGAAAGTTTACGCATATTAAATGCTGGTCTATTGCCGACCGTTGGTAATTCATTGCGGTTAATGTGGATACAAGGTACGTGAGATTGCTATGGCCCTAAATGTGTCGCACACAAGCTTAAAACCATTTGCACAAGCTCGGCTATGTTTTTAGGCTTAATTTTTGAGCCCCTCACTCTCTAACCGAAGTCAACTTTACAATTCGCATTTCTGTTTGTGAATCACAATGGAAACGGCAAAAAAACGACCCAATTTCGAAAAGATTGGTAAAATGGATATTTTACAATAATGTAGTGCGTAGAAAATCTTGGGGACCTAGTAGTGAGGCTCCTGGAAGAATGTCAAAACCGGGACTGCATCCAAAGAAGATAATGCTTTCCATATGCTGGGATTTTAAGGGTGTTATTTTCTATGAGCTATTGCCATAAGTACAAGTAATTGATTCAACTCTATATTGCTCACAATTAACAAAATAGGATCAATCAATTAAAAATAAACGCCTAGAACTGGCAAATCGGAAGGGTGTTGTGTTTCACCAAGACAACACTAGGCCCCATACCTCATTGGTCACTCGCATGAAATTATTGAGCTTTAAATGGGACATTCTGCTCCATCCTATTGACCAGACCTAGCTCCAATTGACTACCACTTATTCCGGTCTCTGCAGAACTCGATGAATGGAAAGAGATTCCAAAAAGAAAAGTACATCAAAAACCACTTGGATCAGTTTTTACTTTCCCTTATCTATATATACAATATGTAGTAAGGGTAAGTTTTTGCTATCGTGAAAATTTTCGAGTCTGAGTTTTGAACGGAAATACATGTTTTGAGGTCTCCTGAGTCGGAATAACGAAGTCCCGCAAAATGGTCTGTGTGTTAACAGTCTAGCTCAAAAACGAATATTATTCATTATTAGCTTCCGCTAAAGTATCTTTATAATATTTGAAATAATTAACCATTTCACAATAATCTTTGATATAAAAATAGTAAAATATAAAATATGAAAGAATTTGACAATTAACTAAATGAGAAATAAGATATTGTAACGGATGATAGTTGTAATAGAGGAATCAAAGGAATGCGAGCTTGCCCAAGCTCCCCCGAAAGATTACAACTAGCTTCCGTATGTAACATGAACTTCATATAATACTGTCTCCGATAATATTATGTACATATGCATATGCGGTTTTCATACATGCTACTGTTGGTATTATTTAATATTTAATGATATAGAATACAGTGATCTAAAAATTAAAATTTGTATAATTGGTAATTGGTTGACTGTCGTGGATAATGAAGAGAAGAATAGTTGGGGTGGTCAGTCAAAAAGGAAGGCAAAAAATAAATGATAATATTTATTTTTTACATATGCCGACGTTTCGACCTGAAGTTCAGGCCTTCATCAGGGCTAAGAAAATAACTAGATAACAAGGTATGAGAAACATAAGTAGTGATGGTAAAAAAAAATAAATAATAATAATAAAAAATTAAAAAAAAATAAAATTAAAAAAAAAAAATAAATATAAAGTAAAATGAAATTGTTAAAATAATGACTAATAACTAAGAGATAAATAATAATAACCGTTACAGAGTGTGAAATGATGAAGTAGGCATAATCAAAAGCCCTTCTTAGCTCTGATGAAGGCCTGAACTTCAGGTCGAAACGTCGGTATATGTAAAAAATAAATATTATCATTTATTTTTTGCCTTCCTTTTTGACTGACCACCCCAACTATTCTTCTCTTCGTTAAAATTTGTATATATGTATAAGGGTATTTAAACAAATAAAAATACCCACAATGAATTGTAAATAAATATAGCGTCAATAGTTTTTACTTTCACTTCCCCTTTGTCTGAAAATACTTATTTCTGCTAAGAAGAGAGTGGTAAGTGAAAGTCGTGTGATGCGCGCACTAGATTTTTTAAGAATAAACTCCAGACATTCTATGAAAATGCATGGCATGTGGAAAGATGGGAAAAAGTCGATATTGATGAATAAGTATATTCGTTAAGTTGTAAAGAACAAAGTGAAACATCATAATTTGGTTTCGTTAAATGATTAACAATAAAAGTTTAATAAACATAGAAACAAGGTATTTGTAGCTAAGATACGAATTACAATATGAATAAGATAGGTAATAAATAATAATAAATCTGTCAAAAGGCGCAATTTTAATACGAACGGAATTGTCTGAGGGAAGAACTAAGAACGGTTAAGATGATTGAAATTCCTGTACAAATTGGTTGTCGTAAACTTACGTAAAGGGAAAGTGGGAAATATAGCGCTGAAAAGTTAACGAAACTTTTAACAGCTAATAATTTACACTACGGTGTGATGCACAGTATGCCTTCGTTAAAACGAATAAATTTGTCAAAGATATCACAAGCCTCACTATGTAGTAATGCTTAAAACTTTTTATAAAGTTAATTCGAACAGAGAAGGCTTTCTCTTGTATTTTGCTTTCAGAAACTGTATAATATTTTGATTAAAGGATGAATATCAGTAGTAAGGAAATCCAGTGAGATGTGCATGACCGAAGCATTTAATTAGAACGGTATTTATACCTGTCTTATTTATTTCAGCACTAGAATATATACTTAGAAAGGTGATACATACAGAAAAGGGTTTAATTCTAAAGAGTGTGCTGTTAACCCGGTAGTGTTATTTGAAGACACAAAAACTATCGAACTAAACACAACGTCGATAAAAACCTGCAGAGAAGAACGTCTTAAAGAAAAAAAAAAAGAGCCATTAGCCGTGCGGGATTACGCCTTTCACGGCAACCTGATAACCGAAGATTGCGAGTTCGTATCACCGTGCCGAGGAACATTTTACACTGGTAGTAATACCCCGCCCTCTCCCATGACGCAGGGAAATCCCATATAGCTGAAAGGCAAGACAATTAAAATTGTATCTAAAAATACAATGTTAGCTATCGAAACGGCGAAGATTTCAATGAGATAAGGGGGAAATATAGTGTTGCCCAAAATCGGTCTTGGTCTTGCACTTTACAAAACCAAGAACGCCTAACTGTTGCGAGACTAAGACCAGGATTGGTAAAAAAAATCGATTTTATGAATAAAAATTAAGGCGAAATAGTTACTAATACTTGACAATCTTGATTACTATATGTAAATAATTGGAATAACCAATATACTTATATACCAATATACTACTACCAATATTGCATTTAACTCCTCTAATTTTCCAATCGGGCTATCTATAGTTAGGATCCTATCTAAAAAATTACAGTAATATCTCTATAGTAATAAGCCAATAAGTAACTCCAAGACTGTTGCGAGACTCTTGCGCAAGACCAAGACCATGACCAAGAATGAGTTTGCAAGACCAAGACTCGTCTCAGTCTCGCATTTGGGCAACACTAGAGAAATCTTATTGACAATTATTGGGGTGCCCGGATTCCCCTTCCCACGGTGGCTATCGCATGTTCGCTCTCCCTTACGATATGTTATAACTCTCCTCTTCTTAAAATCAGTGCAGAAGAATGTATAATTTGAAAATTTTTAGTTCATATAAAATTACACTTGCCGTGGTCTGTTACATGTTTTACCTTGTAACCTTTATCGATAGCTCCTTCAAATTGAAACCCCATAGAGATATGATTCCATCCGAAAATTCATAGCCCTATCAAAATTTACTTTCTTCAACGATTTGAAAGCGAGTAGAAATGTGCCTAAATAAAAATTTTGACGGCTAGCTACTCCAGTAGAGGATCGCTGCTTTTTAAATTATTATTATGATGCTACTTAAGACGAAAAGGAATTGTACTATTGTTGGATCAGGATCATCGAGAAAACATCAGGATTTTCTGGGAAAAAAATAAAGCTCTAAGAGGATATAAAAGCAAAGCAGTGAGAAACATGAAGAGTGAAGAAGGAAAAGTGGTCATGGAAGACAGAGCTATCTTGGAAGTCTGGAGACATCATTACTTGAATCAATTTGGTATTGATAACCACCATTCAACCAACGGGAATGGAAACTGAAATGAGGAAGACTACGACGAGCTGATTGAGGAAGAGGAAGTGGAGAGAGCCATATACAAAATGAAAACAGGAAAAGCGCCAGAACGGGATGGTGTAGTAGCTGAATTAATAAAGAACGGCGGCCATGAACTGGTGCGAGCATTGCAAGTCCTTTTCCAGAAAGCCTGGGACGAAAAAAGAATTCCAACGGATTGCCAATATAACATTATAATACCAATTCACTAGAAAGGATG